AATGATCAGTCAGTCAATAGTGTACATAAAACGCTTAAATGTAACCGTTGGAGTAAAAACTCTGATTTAGCAGTAATTTCCTTTCGGTGCGTGTTCCTTGTAATATTGAACAAGTATGTGTAAAGTGCTAAATATGTCCTTGAAAACGGCGGCCTTTTTTCCTGGAATGATACAAAAGGAGATCACGTCCATGAAACAATTTTAACTTTCAATATTACCGCAATAATATGTAGTCTTTTCGACAGTCTAGGGCGTTCATTTTAAAATTACAAAGAACTAGATCTTCAATTTTGATGTTGTTATCGTTGGGAAACACCAACTTTAAAGCCCTAAATAAGAAATAACATGGCATGCGGAATTCCTGTTACTAGGAAAAATAAGGGCTGAAATGAATTATCCGCAATCTGCTTAGAATCGCAAGGGCGTTAATTTGCGGTTGACGCTCTTAGAGGATAAAATTGAAACAATTATCCAAAAACATATCGCTATCAAGTTTGCACTTCTTACAAGAAGAAAAATAATTTTAAACAATGCGAGGTAAAGAAATACAATGGACGACCAGAATGGGAATGGTTTTAACTTGAAAAACTCCTGCTTCCTCTTTGTCTTTAGCTGTTTTTGAAATTATGTGCGTCATTCAAGGATTTATCTGTAAACTTCAAATAAACAGAGATTCAATAATGAAACCGTCTTCTGGTCTGTGAGCTCTCTCCAACAAAGTGTTAAAAATGACTGATATCAACGCAGTGTTTTCATAGGGCTTAGAATCACTTGCAAAGAAATGATAAACTGTGTACTATAATAACAGTGCCAAATTTCCGTATCTTTGGTATGGTGTATAATAATTTATCATTCTTATAACGGTGGGAGGGGAATATGAGATTGTAAACCTCAAAAGAATCGCAAAAAGTCGATGGTGAACACATACATGGAATTCCTTAGCCCTAAGAAGAAAATTCGGGAAACAAATTTTCTTGGCCCAAAAAAATCATCTGTAGAATGAACAGATTTGATTGACAGTTTTGTCCTACGGTGCTTAAACTTCCTTAAATACCTTTTAAGCACGAGGGTTATGTTCATGTTGTTGAAAATGAAACACCTCATGATAAATTAATCCAACTTTCGCGGGGACGTAGAGCCATAATGATTCTTTTTGTCGTGCAGCGGAGTTACCCTAAAAAACAACCCACGTTTCGTGATTCCACCACTGGTTTTAGCCTGCGAACGAGCGGCGCTGACGACGACACTGATGACGTGTCACTACCAAAAACTGACTGTGCTTCTGATTGAGTTGAAGCAAATTTCTCTTGCAGCAAAACTAATCAGAAGCACCGAAACAGTCGAGTTTAGGCAAAATATACTAGAAACAAATTCAGAACAAATTGAGGAAGGTCTTTCAAGCAAATTCAGAACAAACTAAGGAAGGTGTTTCAAGCAAAGTTAGTCAAGTTATTGTCGGGTTTGGTTTGCTGCACGGGGATGCTCCGCCCCTAAGTCCACAAACTTATCCTTTTTAAGGCTCTTTTAACCAAAAAGGTATCCCTTTCATAAAGGTGCGTCTCTAATCTTCTCGATACCCTTTTAGAACCATAACGGCAATTTTCATTGTCGTTATCTATACCTCAGCGAGTGAAATCTAAACGCTTTAATATAGATCTCTTCTGTAAAAGGTACAATGTGTACCCGCAGAGGCGATTCCTCCCCGGTACAGTCCAACAAAGGGAGTATCCCCAGGGAGACATTTTTACGGATCTGCTTCTATTTCTTCATTAGTAAATGATTTCTCCATTACTAGTAAATGTTTATTTAATGTCTAAAAAATTCATCGCAAACCACAAGAAAGAGCCATGTTATTGTTTACCAAGAGAGTCTCATGTCTCATTGGAAGATAAAAAAAGGCATGAAAAGTGTGGACACTGTTATGACATTCACAAAAGTGTATCGTGGCGTCAAAAAACGTGACGTAAAAAACTGTTTAAGTGCACGCTGTTTCAGCGGCTTCTTCCTTGTTATCAAGGGGGTGTGTCAATTTCCAAGAAATATTTATTATTAAGAGGACATTTATTTAGATAGGAACGTGTATAAAACACTTTATACACACTTGTCTTGGCATTTCCATCGCTTATTCCTCGGGAGCGAAGCTGACTTTCGTCTATCTCAGTTTAAAATGCAATCGCTATTATTTCAACACCTCTGGGTTAAAACAAGAAAACAAAACTACCAGGTAAGAACAAAAAGGCAATAGTCGAGAGCAGTTTCAAACTATTGACACTGTGACGATTTTTTTTCAGTATAATTAAATGAGGAAAGGTGAAAAAGGTTTCATTGTTGTCGTAAAATCAGTACTTTTACGTCGAATACTCACTTTACGGTCTTTTTGAATATCTGGAATTAGACATCTCACCCCATTTAGCTGATTTGATGTGTGTTAGGGTAAAGCGTGGCGTTCTAATGCTCCCGTTCTTTACAGAGCGACGACCATCACAGTTATTAAAGAGTGGAAAACGGCCTTGAAAATGTCAAAGAGGGAAAACTGAGATTTCAGGAGGTAAGTTGTGTGTTTACGTGAACCATCGGTTACTGCTAGTTATATACGTAAGTACTAAGCCTTGCTTAAAAGCAAAGATAAATGACTTCTCTAAGCAAACTTTGGAACATGGTAAAGACATTCGTCATTCTAATTTAATATCTCAAGCATGACATGCGAAAATAAGGAACTTTAAACAACGGAGAAAAATCCATTGACATTCTTCACAATTAGCTAAACGAAGAAGATCTATTAGCGAAAAGTCTGGCATAAATATGTGAACAGTCACCATTTGGTTTGCAGTGGAAACTGTATTTTTTCAGTGGGATCTAAGCGATGCGGCCTACTACGAATCCGAGCCGGATTAATTTTCTTCAAATTTTTATTAATTGCTGGATGAAAAGCTGAGAGAGACCCCAAAACACTAGACTTTCAATTATTATTTCGAATATGTCAAGTAATATCGTTTCATTTAGGCTGACGCTTCATCCTTGAACCTTGAATTTCTAGTGAAATGTTATATTACTTCTGAGTAAAACCAGTAACTAACAGACGATTTCATTTTAAAAAGAAAAGTAAAAACAATACGATACAATGAAAAATGTCATAAAAGAGTAAAGGAAATGTGTCAGTAAATCAAACGATGAAAATTTGGAACAGCACATAAAGCGAGCAGAGACTTGAGGCGTTGGCTTCCAAGGATGCGAACATGACGCCTTGACTTTTTATGTCGTTGTTTTCATCTGAGGAGGTTCCACCCCACAAAGTCAACTAATTCTTACCCAGCATGCCTTCACAACCGTGAAGGGGTCTACAGGCTGGACTTATAAGTAAGAACCACCTTTGATAAACAGCAAACAAGCCCCACCCGCAATCGATAATATTTATTCTAAGCAGCATGAGGTTCCACCCTCAGGAACTGAAATTATCTGTAAGATTATATGATTTTTGTGGGCAGAATATTTTAAGGTCTTTGATTTAGCCGCCTGTCCTTATGAAAGAAATCCTTTTGTTCACGACTTGAACATCCGACAAACACGTGATCCAGAATAGCGTCTTCTGACTTGCGACTTTAATATCAGAAATCCTTTTGTACACGACTTGAACATCAGCCAAACACGTGATCCAGGCTAGCGTCTTGCGACTTGCGAGTTATTGTCTTTATGCAGGTCTTTATGTATATTTTCTAGAAAGAATTCAGCCTTGCTCCTAGACACACATTATAAAAGAATGGACTTAGGAATTAGAACTAGAATTGCAACGACCAAAAGATTCCTCTTTCATGGCTCTCAGCAATCAAATTTTATTTTTTAAGAGTTAATATCACTATCAACAAAAAATTGGTGATTTGCCACATTCAAGTGGCTCAGATGAGCACTTTTCTAAAAATCCTACTCAAGAAAACCACTGATTCCGAACGTTTTCGAGGCATGTTTCACGAAAAGTTGGATTCATTGTTTGCACCATTAAAACCGCCAATCACCTGACTACTATCTGACGTTTGCGGACGCCTCAGAATACAGACTTCCGTGTCAGCAATGTGAAAGCGTAGGCTAGACTAGGCGTCCCGTGGACAAAATTTTATTTGGATGGTTTCACGTTAGGATTTCGATCACTTTATCACAGCTAGATAAGCATACTTAGGAACATTTATTCGGTGTAAGAACCAACATATGATCTTCTTATTATTCTAATAATAATAATAAGGAAAAAAAAAAAACAAACACCACAACGTAAAAACACGTCTGAATGATCACACCATATACATATCAGCATATATTTTATATTAAAGACATATTCAAATGAACAAAACAAAAACAGTAGAATGCTGCATTTTATCGGCTCCTGGCGTGACATTCCGGTTATCTCTTATCTGTGGCAATTCATCTTGACGCTTGCTCGTGTAATCTGAATTTTCCGGGTTTAAGTTTCTTAAGTTGTATTGCCTCTATTTCTGACTGATTTATTTATTTTAATGGCAGTTTGTTCTCGGGCTTGAACTTGATTATTCTAGCCTGGCCAGAGCCAAGAACTGTCTATTGTACTAAATGGACTGCGACAAAGGAGAGTTGACATGCCGTTTATTTACATAGCGAGAAAACAAATGACATTTGAAAGCGAATAAACCAAGTTTCGTTTGCGGCTTCCTTCTCTTCTGGAAGGAATAAATAGGTTTTCAGCGGGATTTTGAAGAGAACTCTGGTAAGCGAATGATTTTGGGGGAGTACTACTTCGGCTGGGAGGCAGTTAATAACCGTGACCAAAACATCATCACACTGGATCTTACCTTGAATCTTTCCCAGGATATTGATTAAACTTTACTGGAACCACAACAGCTAATTTTTTCTGTTTTCTTAAAATTGAAGTCACTTTTTGGCTGCTGTATTTGAGAACGCATTTGCTTGAACTAAAGGCAAAATGGTTTTAGTTAGCGTTTCTAGTTCCTCATTCTTGTAGGAAGATATGTTTAATCATGACGTACCTGGAAGTAACGCCTCAAACACAAGTTTCCGAGAAATGGTTCCAAATCACCGCCACTTTCTTTGTCACGTCAGTGATTAACGGGGCCTCTAAGTTTTCGTTTTCGTTTATTTTTCATATTAGATAAACCATTTGCACGATGACGTCATTTTACTACTACGACCAAATGTGCAAATTAGGGCTTTTCTTATTCAAACCTCGCTGGGGTTACCAAATTTAATTGTAAAAAAAAAAAGAAAAGGATTCTGGTCGTAGTAGTAAAATGACGCCATCGTGCAAATGGCCTGTTACATTGTTCAATTCAGTTTTCCTGTTACCATCCCTTCCCTGGGCAACTCACAGGTAAACCCGTTATTTCGTTTTAGGGGTAGGGGGGATGGGGTGAATCGAAAATAACTTGCCGGTCCTTAGTTGACTAGCCTGCGAATACAGCCTTCTCTCCTTGCTGGCGGTGAGAGCGAGGGGAGCCTGCTGCATTCGCAGGCTGTCAGTTGATCCAATACTATAAGGAGCTTTAGTAACGACCGTGGCAAAGAGGACGTCAAATAGCAATAGGTTTAATAAGAGAAACAATAACTCTGTTCTTGCATCGCACTTGTTTCAACAATTCCTTGCCACCACTACAACTTTAAATTCCCTGACGAGGGGTTTTATGGAGGACTTTAACACACCGCAAAGAATTTCTCCATTTTTTCCTCTGATCTCCTTGTAAACTTAGGCTTAGACTGTTCACAGTCCCTTATTTTGCAACATCGTCGAGATCGAGTGCTTTGCGATACGGGCGGTCATCTTGGATGCAATGAGTGTCAAATCTACTTAGGGGGCGGGGGACGGTTTGGGAGGAGGCGAGAAAACAGTCCTTCTATTTTTCTCGCCTCCCTCCCCCACCACTATAAACCCCGACGCCCTCCCCGGTACATACGAAACCAAGATGGCCGCCTGTACCGGCAAGGGCTGTAAGTGCTTGATACTGACCGAAAAAATAAGGGACTGTGAGCAGTCTAACTTAGGTTAGGTCCCCAAGAATTTAATTACAGGGAAATTTACCTACATTTCACATTTTAAACGGGTTGAAATAATCCTACAAAGTTGGGAAAAAATGCAAAGACTTTCTAACAGTAACGTTTTCCCTGCCATCGCTGTTTTCGCACCTGGGTGCGTGGACAACAACCTCATGATTAGGGCTTCCTGCTTGGAAAAAGGAAAAGCACTGGGGACGAGGTTGGCGTGGTCAAGTCTACCTATATTTGACCAAGTGCTGGTTGGAGATAAAACATTCTTTAAACAAATTGTCAAAGTATATTTATTCAGCAACAGCTGTTGTTGCAAAAGGCTTCCGGCTACGCTCAAATTACAAAATAGAAACATCATTATCTTTTGATTTGGAACATAACTTGCCTAGTCGCTGTACGGCGTCCTCCCAGGCCTTCTCGGTCATTGCATTTCGGTGACGTATCCGGGACGAGAGGCCTCGGGACTAGGCAAATACATAACAAGAATTCCAAGGGGAGAAATTTCTGTGATGGCAAGGGGTGAGGAATAGGCCGCCAAGCCCAATCCCCTGTGCTGTGCTGGGAGTGTCGTAACAGTCAAACTCATTGTACCATTAGTGAATCGATCGTTTGAGTTTTGGGACTCACAGTTTCGATACAGTGGGATACTGAGTCTTACGTTTAGCTTTAATTCGTTTTTTTCACGACTGAAGTTTTTCTAGGACAAAATTTGCTTTCATTCGTTTCATTCACAAACAAGAAAACCGGGAAATATCACACTGTAAGTTTGTTAGATCCGCTATAGTACCAGAGTGATGCAATTTAGCCTCACAGGCCTAAAGTGTGGTTCATTCGGCCATCTTGTGGTGCCATTAAAACAAAGAAAACAGCCCGACTAGGGAACTACGTTAGCTTAAACTGAGACCAATTTCTGCCCTTGACGATTAGACTATTTTGTTACTTATTAAGATAGCAAGATTAGACCCTAATGAGCTTCTGTAGTTTAGTAACCGAAATGGACTGAAACTCTTTCTAATTAACAGCACATTTTTAGACGTCTGCTCACGCAGAGGGCGAAAGGAAGGAAATTTGCACCTGCCTCTTAAAAGAATAAAATTGGGGTAATCAACGTTTTATTTATCATACCGTAACATATCCTTTTATCGTGGTTTCAATCTAAACTCCAGCGTGGACTTTAATAGTTTTCATAACTATTTTTGTCTCCGGATTGTAAATAGAGTTCTATACCACAATTATAGATATTTGAAATTGCTCGATAAGCTATCCTGTGTAAATAATAAATACGTAAATAAAATAAAAAACAATTAAATAAAGTTGGCTTGGATGTTGTAATCCAATGTCTCCCAAAATCGGTCTCTTTCACCGGATAACGACTCTAAACATTTTTAGGCAAACAAATTTATTAATTATCTTCTGTTGTATGGCGTAGAGGTTTCGAATGTTAAAGTAAAGGTATCATCATTCTGGAAAAACGGACAACTAGCTGAGGTTTGTTCAGTTTATTTCGTACTAAAGCGGCAAAAGACCCCCTACATGTCATGGCAAGAATATTTTATTACGTTTTGAGCAGATACTTTATAAACAAAATTTTAGTTTTGATTTCATACTTGTTCAAGCTCAGATCACATACGTGATCACAATCGTTTATTTAGCAAGTGGCAGAGACAAGTCGAAGATTTTTTCCAAGGTTGTCCATATTTACCACAGAGTTCTGGAGAATCAACAAAAGGAACCACTTAAAGATTCTCAGTGCTAAAAGGTTAAAGTTCAAGAAAGGTAATTACACTACGCTGAGAAACAAGGTTTGATACTTTTTCTAGGTTATTAAAAATGATCGTAAGGAAAAGTGCGGATCATTTCATTCGAAATGATAGAAACATTAGGATAATTCTAGAAATGGTTTTCTAACATAAGCGTTACACTTTGTGTCGTAAAACTTCATTCAGAAGTTTTGTTTAAATAATTTAGGCTGATTTAGGATAGTTTCAGGATAAAGAAGATTAAATTGGCCAAATGTTCAGAGGAAAAGAAACCAAAGACGGTCCCTTCTACGGAAATATTGCAAAAAATTATTCATTATTCCATTATCGGCTTCAAAGAACGGTGAATCCACCTCCACGAGATGTTCACAAGGTTTCTTATTGCATGTAAATGTACTATGTGTTCTGTTTTGTTGTACGATTTTTTTAGCTGGAGAAAATGTTTTTTGTTCCACTCTCTTTGACTGCTTCTTAAAACCGGCATCGCGAAGTACTAATCCTAAACAATATATTTTTTTAAAACACAACTTTAATGGTAGATTTATTTAAATTACTTTGTTTGAACGTAAGGAGCATAAGTAATTTCCATCAAAGAAGAACTGTGTTCACCTGGTGTGGTAAAAGAAAGGTTGACATAATATTCCAGCAAGAAACGCATTCAAAAGAGGATTCGGAAAAAAAAAAATGAACAAATGAATGGAGCAAACGTTTTTGTTTTTGTTTTTTTTTTCCCCATTGTAGCCCAAATTCGTACTGATTAAGAATAATTCTAATTTTGTAATCAAAAAATCCATTATTGATCCCCAGTGAAGATTTATTTTTTTGAGGGTAGACATTTCGTAGTATGTTAGTTTATTTATTTCACAGAATACAGAGAATACACAAAAGCAATGTGGTGAGGAATCCCAAAACGAACTGACCATAAGCAACGTATAGATATTGGGCTCCCTCAGAGTATAAAAGTATGAGTTTATTAGGCCGGGATCAAGTGTTTACTAAGTAAATACATAACATTGAAACCGATTAAAAGGTGGATAACTAATATAAATACGGTATAAATAAAGTATAGTGACAAACGTGTAACCGAAATAATGGAACACTTTCGAGAACACAATACATATTTACAAGGTTTATATCATAATCGGACCTATTATGATCTCTTAATGATGGTCAAAAACCAAGCGTACCAACTATACCAAGCGTACGGCTACAAGTTTGAAACTGTATCCTAGCAACTTGCAGTTCACGCTCAATAAAGACCTTTCTCGATTCATGCCGAGTTTTGGTACTTTTACTAATTTTAAGGCGCTTTTTTCAGTGGTGTCGACAAATTTTCCCTATTTGGTCCATATAAAAAGTGGAAAAAACGGTGAAAAGGTCTATTTTAACTGTTCTAATTACGCCGGATTTCATTATCTGCATCTGGTACCACATCTGCATTCCTGCATAACCTTTAGGCTATAAATTCTCTAAATCAGGACAGATTGCGGAAAATACACCTTAGATTCCTTTGAAGACATAAATATATCGAGTTGAAAAAGAAAACTGAGCGGACGAGAATTTAAACTACCTGGCGTGTGAATGCAATGTCATTATGAATGCAATAGCATGAAGAAATAAATATGATATTAAAACGACTGTTGAACCATTAATAGAACCTATATAGGCCTACGCTAGCCTCCCACGCAGGCGTTTTTAGGGGAGCTCGTATTTCTCGGTTGAGCAGGCGTTTGTGGCGAGGGACGAAACACGAGCTCCCCTAAAAACGCCTGCGTGGGAATCTAGGCCAACGCTTGATCAGTTGGAAACCAAGATCGAGGTTTGATCATTTTACTGCAAACGCCAAACGCGGTTTGAGGTTAACGGTTTCCCGTTACCCGTCCTAAGATTCGCTGGCATTGCGGCTGCCATGTTTGCTTTCACTCATCCACTTCCTCCTATTTTAGCTGAGGAATTGTCTTCAAAATTACGTTTTTTTATACAGAATTCGTTAATATTTCTTCTCAAACGTGGGATTGTGATGTTTTAGGGTGTAAAAAACCTTGAGGTAAATCAATTAGCTCTGGATCGTGGTCTAGCCGTTCCAACGCGAAAACGTCAAACCGCAAACCTGACGACAAGGCCCTGGTCACGTGACTTCCTGACGTTCGCTGTTCGCAGGAAATGCCGAAAACCTCAATCTTAAGGTTTCTACTTTTGAATTTATTCTCCTCACGGAGACCTATGTAGTCAACTCTCATTCAGTGAACCCGCGCCGTATGATTCCTTTTTTCGCATTCCCTTCAACCTTGGAACCAAAATAGGTCTAAATATTATTAGTATTATTATCAGCGTAGGAATGTTTACTCTTCCTGTCTGCTTGACGTCTCAATTAACATATCTGAAACTCGTAAGCAAAAAAAGAGTGTATTAAAAATGCACCTTGTGCGATCAAGCGATACTGAGGGAAGTGCTCTACTACAACTCAGCGATAAGGGTAGGGCTTTATTATACATATTTTCTTCTCACTGATTTTAAATATTCACAGGTACATCTGATGAAATGCGATAATTTTAGGAATCAAGGTAAATCGAGATCCACTTTGGACATTCAGAACAGGGCTAACTGAACTGGAACTTGATTCGCACTCAGTTTGCTAACCCTAACCGGTTTAGTCTTTCGGCGTTCTGTAAAATACAGTGGCGCCTATTTCTGTTCTTATACCACTTCATGAGAAATTTCTGCAATTTGATTGGCTTAGAGCAGTGGTATTTCAGCTTATTTTGAAATGTCTACATGTGAAAATTACAAACCAAGGGCACCCAAAGACGGTTTCCTCTTAAATACATTGAAAACACTTTTTAGGCTATCCAGAGTACTTTTAGATATCTAGATATGCATTCTAAGCGTCGCTATAAAATTTGTCATACATATTTCAAAATTGTCTCAAATTTATAATATAGTATAACAATTTTGAAATATCACTCGTGGTATTTATGCCAAATATCACTACAAATCATGCTATTACCTATACTAATATTGGTATATATTCATTTATGGGAAAGCATTTTACGCAATTTAGCCTTCAGAGTTTTTAAAAAATTGTTCGAAACATTGATATATAAGTCACGTAAAAAGACTCCACTAAACAGAGGTTATCAGTAATGTCATCAAAAGGCATTCATACACACCAAAGATTAATCAAAAGGTTTTAACTTTCAACATCAGTGGTTTTTCAGTCTGTAACTGTTCTTAGCTTAAGTCAGTAGGTGAGCGTTTGCGAAATAAATCTACTGGTACAGGACGTCCTCGGGGAATGCTGTGGTGTCCGCTTAATACAGGGAGTCCGCTTAATAAGGTTTCGATAGATAATGTCATATGAGGAGTCAAATGCGTGGAAACGTTTAGAATACTTCCAGAGACTATGACGATATACGTTTGCATAAATTTCTTTACTAAAGTGGACTAATTGACCGTAGTACCTTTAACATAGATAGCAACTCAAATTTGAAGAAATCGGATGAGTGAAACAAGCTCTATACAAACAAAACGAAATAGAAAACAATATTCTACTGTACTGTATTCAACAGTGTGTGAAGCAAATTAAATGCCGTTCGTCAAGTCACGTTTTTTCTTTTTTTTGTTTTTGAAAAAGAAAGCTGAGCGGACGCGTGTGAATACACTGTTCATTACGAATGCAAAAGAATGAAGAAATAAATATGATAGCATATATAGACGACTGCAGAGAGGTAAACGGGTTCCAGTTTCAACAAACGACCTATTAATAGAATCTATATAGGTGGACGCCTGATCAATTAATAAATTAATTTCGATATTTTCGAATTTTTTCTCCTTTGTTCTGAGACCTATTTAAATTTAAAAAAAATGAATAGTCATCTATCATTCAGTGAACCCGCTCCGTGTGAGTTGTCAGATTTCCGCCAATCAGCGCGAAGGAGAAGAGAAATCGAACGTGATAGTAAACAAACATTGAAAAACACGTGCCAAGAGTAATCACGCTATTCCTATTATCATATCCTCCAATCAACATTTCGCGTCGATTTTTTCGTTGGATATATTTAAATTCCAGAGACGTAGTTGCAAGCTCTCGTTCAGTTCCCGCCCCGCTGCCAGAACGCCCCGGAGAGCTTGCTCGCAGGTTAACCAACCTTCCCCACTTGACAGTACAGGAGCCTTACTTCAAATTCTTTCAATCAGGGGAAAAAAAAATTCAAAACTTTACACAAATAGAAAACGTTTCAAAATTGGATATCTATCCAGCATGACCAATGTACGTTTTGCAAAACTGAACAGGAAACATTATTCCCCATTCTCTTTTACTGTCTGTACTCAAATCTGTAAATTTTCGCAACTTTGCGGACCTATATCTTCGCTCCCTAAAGAGTATCAGTTTTAACTTTGGCACTTTTACTAACTTTAAGGCGCTTTTTTCAGTGGTGTCGACGGATTTTCCCTAACTGGGACATATAAAAAGTTGAAAAACCGGTGAAAAGGTCCATTTTAACTGTTCTAATTACGCCGCTGCCGCTGGCCGCTGCATTTGGTACCAGATCTGCATTCCTGCATAAACTTTAGGGTACAAATTCTCTAAATCCGGACAGATTGCGGAAAATCGTTTACACCTTAGATTCCTCTGAAGACATAAATATATCGAGTTGAAAAAGAAAGCTGAGCGGACGAAAATTTAAACTACCTCGCGTGTGAATGTACTGTTAGCTACTGTTCATTACGAATGCAGTAGAATGAAGAAATAAATGTGATATAATAAACGATTGTAAAAGGGTAAACGGGTTTTAATTTCATAAAATGAACCGTTAATAGAACCTATATATAGACCTATATAGGTGTACGCTTGATCAGTTGTAAACCAGGATCGAGGTTTGATCATTTTACTGCAAACGACGGTTTCCCGTTACCCGTCTTAAGATTCGCTGTTAGTTGCTGGCGGCTGCCATGTTTGCTTTCATTCATTCACTTACTCTTATTTTAGCTGAGAAATCGTCTTCAAAATTATGTTTTTTGTACAGAATTCGTTAATCAATGAGCAAAAAAGAGTACTAAAAAGTTGTATTTCTTCTCGAACGTGGGATTGTGATGTTTTAGGGTGCTAAAAACCTTGCGGTAAATCGATTACCTCTGGATCGTGGTCTAGCCGTTCAAATGTGAACCTCAAACCGCAAACCTGACGGCAAGGCCCTAGACACGTGAATTCTTGAGGTTTCTATTTTTAAATTTATTCTCCTTTGCTCCGAGACCTATGTAAATAGAAAAAAAATCAATGCTCATCTCTCATTCAATGAAACTGCGCCGTGGGATTCCTTTTGCCTTATTTCCCTCAACCTTGGAACCAAAATACAGTCGACTCCCTTTTGTATAGCGGACACTATAGGGACCTTGAGTATGGTCCTCATTAGCGGGAGTCCGTATTAAAAATAGCGGGAGTTTATTTCAGTCAATCGTCTGCAAATTATTTTTGCCTGGGATGTAGCTGTTGTCCATATTATCGGGGTGTTCGTTATAGCGAGGTGTCCGGAAGGTTAGAGTTGACTGTAGAATGGCATTAGGCGAAAGTGATTGGATTGAATAATTTTTGACTTTATTGAATTTTGCTACAAACAGCTTGCCATATGTAGGTCTAAATATTATTGTCAGTGTAGCAATGTTTACTGTTTTCTGCTTGACTTCTCAATTAACATATCTGAAGCTCGAAACAACTGAAAAAAGTGAATTAAAAATGCCACTTGTGCGATCAAGCAATACTGAGGGAAGTGCTTTACAACAACTCAGCGACAAGGGTAGGGCTTCATTACATATAGTTTCTTCTCATTCATTTTAAATGTTCAATTCACAGGTCCATGTAATGAAATGCGATAATTATGTTTAGGAAACTGGGTTAATCTAGATCCACTTTTCGCACTTTGGACACTGATACAGGGCTAACTGAACTGGAACTTGATTCGCACTCAGTTTTCCAACCCTACCCTGTTTAGTCTTTAGGCGTTCTGTAAAATACAGTGGCGCCTATTTATGTTTTAATTTTGCTGTATACTGATTTATGGAAAAGCTTTTACGCAGTTTAACTCTCAGAGTTTTTAAAAAATTGTTCGAAACATTCTTATACAAGTCACGTAAAAAGACTCGACTAAGCAGAGGTCATCAGTAATGTCATCAAAGGGTATTACATACACACCAAAGATTAATCAAAAGGTTTTAACTTTCAACGTTAGTGGTTTTTCAGTCTGTAACTGTTCTTAGCTTAAGTCAGTAGGTGAGCGTTTGCGAAATACCCGGGGGGGGTACTCGCAGAAAAATTGGGTAGGGGTGTGCGGCCCGCTTCCCAAATCCCTTACCCTATTTATGACCAAAATCTGCGATTTTCCCTACCCTATTTATGACCTAACCAAAAATTTGATACCCTATTTATGACCTGACCCTTAAATCAATACCCTGTTTCAGACCTGCCTTATAATTATTTCCCTAGTTCAGACCAATGTTAAAGGAAATGTTTATCTGCTTTTATTAGGTTAGGGGGACATGATAAGGAAATAGCTTCTTCTAAAAAAGTGCATTCAAGACTACAGTGCAAAAATCGTTACCCTATCTATGACCAAAATGGCGGCAAAATAGCCAAAATCGATACCCAATTTATGACCAAAACGGCTGAAAAACCCTACCCTTTGGGGCCGCACATACCTATATAGCCCATATTAGGGAGTACCCCCCCCGGGGCGAAATAAATCTGCCATGTTCAACGATGTGTGACGCAAATTAAATGCAGCTCGTCAAGTCACGTTTTTTATTGTAAAGAGGAAATCGAAAAATTTTAGGGGGTGGCAATCTTTTGCATTTCCGGTGTCTGGCATGTTGGGTGGTGGAATTTAATTCCAAGAGTCCGTTTAATACAGGCTGGCAGCAATAGAAATGACCATGATTTCAGGTACTTTTTAGGTGTACTTTTTAGAAGAAAATATTGAATTCAATACTTTACACAAATACAAAACGTTTCAAAATTGGATATCTATCCAGCATGACAAATGTACTTTTTGCAAAACTGAACAGGAAACATTATTCCCTATTCTCTACAGTCAACTCTCTCTAAGACGGACAGCTTTGGGACCGGCACCAAATGTCCGTCTTAGAGAGGTGTCCGTCTTATAGAGAGTCAAATAAAAGGAGTAAAGAAAGGCAGGGACAAACTCTAAGTGTCCGTTTTACAGAGGTGTCCGTCTTACAGAGGTGTCCGTTAGGAGAGAGTCGACTGTTTTACTGTCTGTACTCAAATCTGTTTTGGAAAACTGTTAAACAGTATTATTTAACAATAGCGAAGGGTTTCGAAGATGCGTTGTGTTTACGAGACGTTATAATTGGAATAACAATGTCATCATGCCACTCGTTAAATTATGTGATCATGATGTTAATTGGTTATCTATATTTATGGGATTGCAGAAAGAACCAGGTACTTACAAACATCGAAGGTTTCAAATTTAACGTTAACTTAACGTTTAATTATATTTCCACCACGAACAATAAAATTAGAAACCTTTTATCGAAAATGTCCAAAAGACCTTTCTCCCCTTTAATTTAGTGTGTAAATAAAATAGTAAATTATCTTTTATTATATATTTATTCTGTATTTTTTTAAAGTAAAATTTTTTCAGAGTGTACTCTAAATTAGCGTTACATGTAATTTCTCTTTTCATCTACGTAATTCAGTACTGATTAACCGCTATTTGTAGAATAAGCCACTTTTTAGTCAGCTGTTAGTTTTGGCTACAATGCATACAAGTGGAAATGTCTATGTCGTAGTTAATTTTTTATCTGAGGTAATTTTCAGGGTCGTAACAAGGTATTTTTTTGCAACTGATCCCACATTAGGCCTTAAATTTTGATCCCTGATCCCAAAATTGTTGCAAAACTTTTTCAATCAATAAACTTTATTTACCCTAATATCTTCTAATATCTTCGAGCCAACTACATGGATCCCTGAATTCAATCTGGGTTGGATTTACTGCGTGTACTTCGTAAAAACTGAAAAAAATTGTTCCTCTTTCTGATTTCTTTTACAGTTGGTCACATCATTTACTGACGGGAGAATTTAAAAGGTTGGTTCCAGTCCAGTCTGTTCTTTCGAGTTATAATTTCTATCATAATACGTTCCACTTAGAGCTCTCATTCAGGGCTCCTGTCTCATTACAATATATCTTGTAATGAACTTTTAGTTTAGTGATCTGTTCGGGCCGTTTTCGCCTTTCTTTTAAAATGTGATCAATTCCGCAATTCGCCTTCCCTGGCTCCAGAGGTGCGTTCTCAAAATACCAAATATGAAATAAACAGTGCTTACGGTTGATAAGGCGTCCTGGACGGACCTCTGGTCACAAAAGCAAGCAACCTCATTTCCATGCGATAAATCAGTTAAGAATTTGAACTGGGTCGCCGATTGGTTACTCCCACGTCCGCAGGGAGTTAACGCTGTAACAGTGAACTTGATTGGCTAATTCGGAGATCTCGGCCTTCATGTTTACTTTTGAAAGTGTGGCAAAGAAATCTCTGGCTAAACTTCGAAATAATTTAAGCGAACATCCGACAACTTAATCAATGTTGCTCGAGGAAGAAGCTTTGTTTGAATTTTTCCTACCAAAGGACGTACTTTGAATGAATGTGATGATTTCCTGTTATGCTTTGTCTTGTTGGGCTCTGTTCTGCATTCTCACGGATAGTACCCTGGGTGTAAAAGGTTTTTCTTTTTTTCCTAATTCCTGATAGTTCACGGCGCGGTTTATTTGCTAAAAAATGCAGCAGAATGATGTTTTGTTTGGCATAGCTGTTTTGCCTGGAAATACTAAGTTTGCAATCTCGTTCCCAGGGTTCTCTCCTACGCGCCCTACGAAGCGAGAGAGGGCGGGTAGAAGAGAACCCTGGGAACGAGGTTGCTAAGTTTGACCTGTACAGTAATACAAGTGTCGCGGACCGGAAATTCTTTTTCACATACAGACTGTGTACTTCTCAGCTGACTTCTGTCCTTTTCATGTACTTGAAACTTGAAGAGTACTATTTTGGAAAAGAATTTGTGACAATTTTTATAGCACTTTCCTTTCTAAGTAAGCTTTCGTACAATTCTTTTTTCCTTCATCGCAGAGAGTCACCCATGATCAAATTTCAGCTGTCAGCGTCAATGAAAACAAACATGCACATCACCTCCAAACCGGTTTGATGAGAAATATGATCCTAAAATTGCATGGAAATGAGACTCGTAGCTCCGGTGACCAGAGGTGATTTTTTCCTCTCGGCTTAGCCTGTGAGCAAGCTCTTCATTTGGAACCCAGGGTAGAATTCGCCAACAACACAAGCCAAAGAAAACATCAACTTAGTCTAAGGTAAAAGGCGTTTGTTCTAGTTGTACACGTAACTTTGTCTCAGTCGTCGCCTTGGTAGCACCGGTTGACCAACTAAGTTCAGGTGTGCCGCAAGTCATACATCACCATCTGACTATCCTTTAATACACGTTTCATACCGGATGTAAGTAGCCTGAAGGAGTACGCACGCGGGCAGAAAAGTTGTAGCGATGAAGGCCGCCTAACCTAGGGGCATACTCCCTCAGAAAAGTTTTAAATTTAGGGTTTCAGAAATGCAATTTGCAGCGTTTTTTGCGGGACACTTGAAGTAAATTAATACGCAGGAAAAGTGAAGTAGCTTAAGTTGTTTATTTTACCCATCTGTGGTGTTGTTGGTAAGATTCAGTGTTTATGGGAAAAAAGAGATCTCTTTGAGCAAAGATTGGCTTGACCAACGAGTAGTACCTACAGAATTCCACAAGACCAGGACGATTAGAGAATCCTTGTCGCCAACATCAGTAAGAACAACAACAGCTTACAGAATGCTAATATAACTCGCAAAAGGTGTAGCGACATGAAATTTGAACAATCTATCATGGCTTCACAATTTGCAACAATTTATTTCCAGACTATAGGGATTGTGTTTCCTGGATTTTGGACGATCCGGCCTAGCCTCTTGTAGGCTTTTATCACAGATCAGAGCTTCTCCCTAGCAGAATATTTAATCAGAGCCGCAAGCTTTATCAGTTTGCCATATCTTTCATGACACTAGCTATAGCTACTTTACATTTGAAAGTAATTTGCATTTAGTGGCTTGAAAGTGAATTTTTGAATGATGTTTTTGGGATCTGGTAAAGGAATTTTGGTATAAAGGCTGCCACATATGGTCTCTTGAGGTTCGTCAGTAAAACGTGCAAAGGGTCAAGTACCTAGTGCAAAAAGAAAGTGAGAGGATTTTGTCAATTAAAAGAACTGCGTCTCTTAAGACATCTTTGTTAAATATTTGCTTAGGGTGTCTGGCTTCATCATCACATAATAGGTTTAGAAAGAGGGAAATTAGTCACTCTGGTAAAGGGCAATGTCCATTAAGTAATTTTTTTCCAGAATCCGCCGAATTCGGCAATTCTTTAGCTCTGTCCGTTTTAGCTCCAACAAACTGAGTCAACAGGTGAACAAGCAGAGAGTAAGTAATGTGCTAAAAAAGGCAACATAAGATAAATACAGTTAAAAATCCAGGAAAGTATTCACAAGTTTTGCAGACAAGCTAGTCCAGCAGATCGGATTGCATTAGTACAGTTTAGTACCGGATCGAAATGTTACAGTAAAAATACAACTGAATTGAAAAATGTTGGCAGGTTCCTACAATTAAGGCGCATTTCAGAATGTTGTGGTCTGTTGTTATGTCGGACAACCAGATCACTGATCACCTTACAGTAATCCTAATCCACGGCTTGTGATCTTAGATCCAGGCGCTGTGATCCCTGATCCCACCCATTTTTTTCTGTTGGTCCCTGATCCCATATACCTTGTTACGACCCTGTAATTTTAATTTTTCCTTTGTTTTAGAGGGCCGCAGGTTTGTCAGTTTACCGTTTAGGGTTAGCCTCTTTAAATAAAGTTGATACATACATACATATATTAGCATGCATTACCATAACCAAAAACAAAAGAAAAACAAAAATTACCCGAAATAAAAAATAGCTGATTCAATAAAGGTTGCTTTGGGCTTTGGGAATTGGGCATTGGGAAGCTATTGTTTGGTGGTCATTTAAGTTAATCATTGCATTGTTCCATATGCTCAAATGCCCAACTACCAAAGGAACCTTTTTTATTCAGCTGTATATAATTGTGAGTATGTTATCATAAAAATTTTGTAGTCTGTTCTTGGTAATTAGTGTAATAACGTCTTGAATAAAAAAATACATTGGATTACAAACAAGAGATGTGCAGAAAAACAGACTTGATTTTTTTAGAATTGTATTTTCAAGTTTCATTTTTAAGGACCTAGCTACTGTTTTCGTCAGTGTCACTGAGAGTGCTAAACCCATCGCTTGGAACCCAGTACTGAGAGAGCCATAGGCCATAGCATAGTTTTCCTCAGTGATACATTTCTTTATTGGCACGATTTAGACCCAAGGTGCGCTAATTAGGGACTAATAATACTGAAACGCAACTAGATTTCGTTAATGACGCGGGGTGCCACGTTCTTATCCATTTTTTTCCTTTGTAGACATCTTCATGCCGGAGCACGGATGCGAAATTAAAAACGAAGGCCATTATCCGGAGGATGGTATTCCAGCCGCGCCTGTTGGAAATTTGAGCGAGAAATCGTGTTATCCCAAGATGGATCCCACAGAGGTTTCAAGTTTCATAGACGCACAGAGCAAAGTTCCATTCGGTGATATTGAAAAAGAAAAAGGTACTCTTTTGGTTTGTGTGGATTTTCGGTAGCAGGCATTCAAGTATCCTAATACCAGTCAAGTTTTGGTTGGAGGAATAATAGAGCCCCTTCTAATGAAAGCCTTTTTCACACCAAAGCCTTAACATGTTTAAAAGTTGTTTATAAGTTGATTCCCTCCTAAAAGCTGCTTTCTGTCACGGGCCAATCCGCGCTGGCAGAGAAATTTGGAATTGTCTTTGAAACATCTCAACCAAATAGTGTATGGTGACAATTTTTGTTTTGAAAAAATTTATCTGCACTGGAAACAAACTCTTAACAGGCCGTCACATTTCTTATTACTTAATGGAAAGAAAAATGGCTTTACAGCAAATGATTGACAAGGGAAAACAATTTTTGGTTATGTTTTAGTCAAGTCTGTTTTTCATTTTTCAAAACCTGGTCCAATTAAACATGTTTAATCGATTTAAGTGGGGCCTAAGATGAGGACTACTACGGGAACGAGATTTTCTCAATACTCAGTAGTGCGCACGCGTGAACCATGAGTGTCATTTTGGCCAATCTCGACCCAGAGCTCTTCTGCGCATGTAGAGGAGACAGATCTTACGCGCGCATTCCCAAACCCGTAAGCACTGGGGTCGAGAATGCATTTTGGCGGAAAAACGCGATAAGAGAGGAGAAGTCGTTACATCACGTTGCCTTGGTTGCCATGGTTTCTTAATCTCAACAAACCGTGGTCCTGCAGATATAACAGAAAATAGCGAAAAGGTTGACATGTATTCCTGTGCATGATTACGCTCAGGAACAAAACGGTATCCCAGACTTTTCTTCCATCGTTCGACAATCCAAATGGCCGTCTCTGTCAAGAAAGATTGTTTTGATCCAGAAATTTTGCTACAATGGTAACCTGACGTCAGACTTCTCCTCTCTTATTACGGTTGACTTTAGCGAGAATAAAGACCTTAGGGATTCTCCTAGACGAGGACTGAGAACGAGATTGTTTCAATACTTCGTCCGTGCGCGCGAGTGAACCAGCGTCATTTTGGCGGGAAAACGCGACAGACATTGTCGTTCTAGTACTACGGTGTAGCGAGAATGACGCAGCGGCGGAAACAAGTCATCAAATGTTAAAAGTTGTATCATCTTGCGATCGGGTGAGGGCTCAACCTCTTTCAATAAAATGACCCTGTTAACTTTTCTGGTGGAAAAAAGAACGAAATGAAGCCTTCGGGCGTGTCTATTTTTTTTAGAATACTCGTCCTTGTAGTCTTTCTCATTCTCGAATCTAAATATCTTTAATGGTAAGTGCAAAGACGAGTTTTGAAGCCAGCACGTTTGGTTAGTCATCTGTAAAAGAGGTATTATGCCTTCTGTTTCTCTATGGGGTGGTCAGAAACGAGACAAAAGACTGGGTGGGAGTTCTGGGGACTTGAATGTCTCGAAAATCCGAGATTTAGTCTCTTGAACTCAAAACTTAAAATTTCCCATAACTAATCACTTTAACAGTTGATTTAGAAACACTAAAACGCCGTTGTAAGGTAGTCAAAGAAACTCAAGCTTTCGCCTGAATCAAACTAGAGTACGGTCTTTATCACAGTGCGGGGAACTAGGAATGAGGTACCCTATCACGACTTTCTAGTGCTCAATTTTCTACGTGCAGCTCCTTCATACGTGGGAATCCACATGGCGCAAACGTGCTTGTTGTTTTATTCCCTCCCGCGAGAGGAGCACTGCCATATTTTACTTTCTCGCGATAAAAAATAAAAATCAATACCATTCACAAAAAAAAGTCGCGATTGGCTAGTAAATAATTGACATGTTCACTTTTATCGCTTATTCTATTGAAGATTTCTTCCGATAATTTCCAGAATCCATTAGGCGAATCAGGTTTAGATAACTTAAAGAGGTCACGACCAGCCTTAAAGTCGTTGATACTTGTTGAATTTCGCACGCGTAGTGGCAGCTGGTTCCAATATTTGATAACTCTATTGTTAAGGACGTCATGCGCTGATCTTAATGGATGATGAGAAGTGACATTAACATTACGAGTTTGATAAGTTGTAGTCGTCCCAAACATATTGTGACCATAGTTCACAAACCCGTTGATTATTTTGAAGGTCTCGATTGCGTCACCACGCATTCGACGTTCCAGACAGTAAAGTCGTTAATCTGAGACGCAGTAAGAGAGGAGGCCCATGCCCTCAGTTATCCTGGTAAACTGTCTTTGGCAGTCCTCAATTTCCATTATAATACCCCAGTTCCCGTGTCTTGCGGTTGGGGCCCACACCTGCACTGTGTATTCCAAATGGGGTCTGACAAAAGCTTTGTAAAATGGTATTAGCACTTCTGGTTTCCTAGATACAACATTCCTAATGATCCAAGACGTCATCTGGTTTGGTTTCCAATCATTCCTCTTATTTGTTCCTGCCAACAAAGGGTATCACCAGCTGAAACAACCACCCCCAGATCTCTTTCCTTATCAACCACTTGAAAGGGTGTATGACCCATCACGTGCTTACGGTCAGGTCTTTGTTCCGATTTGAAGGTTTGTAGGGTTTACAAGTAGTTTATTGTGGGTTAGGGTTTTGAAGTGAAACGATTTCGGTCTAGAGTAGACTATCTAAGCCACTGTTGTCACGTGCTGCCAAGGCAGGCAACTTCAAGTAACAATGACAAGGGTTGACGTTTTCAGTTACCTTACATGTAAGTGTAGTACATTTTGAGGCGAAAGCTGAATTTTCGCTACGTTTGGGGGTACTGAAACAAGGTAGAGGTTTTGCCTACAAGGTTTTCTTGTACCATTAACAAAAAGGGTTTAAAGTCATGTAATCTAAGCCAGAGTCTAATTTTACTCTACTGGATTCTCGTTCAATAATGACTGATGGAGGACTTTTCTTCTTTTTCTAGCCGTTAAAGAACCTTTTAATCACAAAATTCAGGAAAAGGAAATATGTCAAATGCCTTTAAAATGCCCGTTTAGTGGACAAATTGGAGAATTCAAGATGAGACCACAAGAGCCGAAACATATGAGACTGAGGAATTGGATAGAAGATTCCGATTCAGTTGACACCCTTCATCAAAAAGCAATAGAAGTAAGTGGGTTATAGACCTTCACCAAAGTTCTCTTTATTAAAAAGGAATCATTAAATCTCTTAACGATTTCCCGAGTGATTGCAGTCTAAATGTGAAACATAAGTTTCCCCTGCAACTGAGCTAATTCCAGTTAGTTTATTACGGAAAATGCGAATATGCAGGGTTATTCAAAATCAGTTGCTTTATACATGAAGCAAATAAAGCGTTAGTACGGAAAGACGTTGCCCATAAAACATTTAGTTTGTTCTTAATTTCCTTAGGGGCCATGAGAAAATTATTTCAAAAGTTAATAACTAAAATCACAAATTCAAGTGAGAGCAATCTCTGTCCTCAGTCTACCTTTGAATAGTTTCCAACACCCTTGGCATCTGAAGGCGTTGTTCGTTTTGCTAGTCCAAAGCTAGATTATGTTGTTCTTGAAAAGACCTTTAATTAAGCTTTCCAAGCCCTCAGGACTAAACTTTTTTTGTTAACCACAAAAAAAAAAAAAAACTTTTTCGGGATAACGTTTTTGACAAACTGTCGCACGGAACACAGTTTGACATCGCTCTTGGAAATCATGCATTACGTGCGGAACCCACAGATTAGTCATTTATCTGCCATCCAGAAAAGAGAACTTCGTATTATGTATTTCGGAGAGAGACACGATGATGCAATTCCCCTATCTTTTCAAGCTAACATGCTTTAAAATAAATATTATTTGTCATGAGTCTGTGTCTTTTTTAAAGAACGATATCATTAACAATTATGTACTATCAAATCGGTTACATAAAGAGCTCATTATGTTCTCTTGGTTACATTTCATGAGGAAATGTCCAAGATTTATTCCATCAACAGTTTTTGGTTAGGGATACAAAATCTTTCATTCTTTCGGCCTTCCTCTGACGTGATGCGTTCTCAGCTCCTTTCACCAAATCTGTCGCCTGAGTGACTGGGAACAAAGGCGATCGTCAACTTCCCCCTCTTCACAGGCACGAACTCACCTGTGGTCTATCTTTCTATGTAGCCTCTTCATTGTACCAATGGACGATGCACAGGATCTATAATGTTTCCATACGGAGGTGAAATACCTAAACAGAGGGCTTATGGCATACCAAGACACAAAGATGAGGTCAAGATTCATGCGCAGGACTTTCTCGAGCAATATTACTCCTCTATTAATCTGTAAGTTTGATGTTTGCACGAGACCCTGGAAACAATCTCAACTCATTTTATTTGAGACCTCCCCTAGATTACCACTTTATGAACCCTTAACAATTTCCTTAAATATTTGATTTTCCTATTTTCAGAACAAGAAGAAAATGAATATCCCCATCATTTGTTAAAAGTACAAGAAACATTGGTTCCCCTTACTGTTCAATAAAGGCTATTTTTATATAGCTGAATCCTCGAGAGGGCAAGATGAAGCGAATCCTGCGTTCTGATTTGCTACCCGAGCGGGCAAGATGGGCTCGGGATTTCCCGCGTTGGTTCCTCAAGAGAAAGTTCTCTTTTTGGCCATATAATAAATCCCTTATTGACCAAAATGGCTGTACATTGGCCTCGGTTGTTTTTTAGCGTTTTTATCAACCTCGACTGCGTCTTCGTCTATAAAAACGCAAAAAAGAACTTCTTTAATATCCAGCCATCTTGACCTCACGCTTGTTAAATAATGCATATATAGAATGTAAAAAAATATTTTCACAATTTTTTTCCAGTTCCAATAGTGATGATTATCAGAACAGGCTGGTCGAGGTGATAAAGTCCATTGAAGATACCGGAAGCTATGAGATGACGGAGAAGGAACTCATTTTTGCCACCAAAACTGCATGGAGAAATGCCCCCAGATGCATCGGAAGAATACAATGGAACAATCTTCAGGTACTGCTTTTGAATACGCTAGAAAGAAGATAGTCATTTTAAAGTTACCGCATACTTTCAAGGGTGTCTCCTGTCACATATATCAAATGAAAGCTTATTGAACTGGCTCTCTTCATAAACCGACAATTCTTCGAACTTGCACTGCGGTTTTTTTTCTTTTTTTCTATTTTATGGCAGCGCCCGAATCAGCTTTCGAAAGCTCTTTTGGTGCTCTTCAGCAGTCAACTTCTTTGCTGGGAACAAGTTTGTCACATCGTGTCTAATTCGAATTGTCGTATCTTAAAATTCCTCCTCATCATCATCACCATCATCATTTTCATCCTCAGCTTCCACTTTCATCGATACCACACAGTCTCGCCACATGGTTTTTTTCTTATTGCTCTCCAAAGTTCTTCATAGACGAGCCAGGTATCTCTTGAGATTGAATTGTCTTGGAATAGCTTAAGGATCTCCTCCTCCTTTTCGGGCACAGTAGTCTTCTGAGAAAAGATATAAGAAATGTCTAGCCTGTTATTTGGCCCCGAAGTAGAGGCCTGCATAACGAGCTGTTCAATTTGCCTTTGCCTTTGGTCGTTGAGATAGGGGGGATGCCCCCTACTCTAGTTTGGTCTTTCATACGACTGTTAAAAACAATTTATCTTTTCTCATCAGGTTTTTGATGCTCGTCACGTGACTACCCCTGAAGGGATGTTTGAGGCTCTGAAGACACATTTGGAGTACGCGACAAATGGCGGGAATCTGAGTTCAGCTATCACTATTTTTCCACAAAGGAAAGAACCAAATAAAGACTTCCGTGTGTGGAACTCTCAGCTTATTAAATATGCTGGGTACAGACAGGCTGATGGCACAGTGATTGGAGATCCAGCGAGTGTGGATTTTACTGAGGTATTTTACCTGCACACCGTACGAGTAGCTATTCTGTAAACGTTTATTCGTCATTCGAACATAAGAATAAGAAGATTGCGGTACTTTTCGAAGTGGCTTTTACACGGGTCTTATGTTAGTATGCGATGTGACTTTGATTTGGTAAAACAATTGAAAATAAACTAAACAATGCAGCGCTTGTATAACTTCACGGTTTTTTTTTTTTTGTTAAAGACATTTGTTAATGCCGATATGAGTTATTGGGGAAAATGACCTTAAAACGAATTTTTATACGTTTCTTTCCCTGCTCATTTTGTTTTTTAAAAAAACGATGGAAAAAAACGTACGTAGTGCCTCGTTATTCGTAAATGGAAAAATTTATGTAAGCACCACCCTCAAATAAGCACCGCAAATACCGAAAAGTCGATACTGCAGCAAACTCCAGTTGTTATTTTGCTTTTTTTTCGTAGGTTTGTCAGATGCTGGGCTGGCAAGGCAAAGGGGGCAGATTTGACATACTCCCATGGGTATTACAAGCCAATGGTGGACCACCAGAATACTTTGAAATCCCAGGAAATCTAGTCCTCGAAGTAAAAATTAAGCACCCAAAGTGAGTATATCATCTAACAGAACTCATCCATAACATGAAACTTATTTCAAAAGGCAAAAATCTGTTCTTTTGTCAGATATTCTTGGTTTGAAGAACTTGAGTTAAAGTGGTATGCTCTGCCAGCGGTGGCCAACATGATGCTGGACGCGGGAGGCCTGGAATTTACCGGTGCACCATTTAATGGATGGTAAGTTGAACAAATCGCTCATTAAAGATTTTATGACCGTAAAATTCCGAAAATAAGCCCCGGGGCTTATATTTTTCAAAGGCCCTTTTTGAGGGCCTTATTTTTGGAGGGGCTTATGCACGGAGGGAAATTTGCGTTGCAAACTCGATTGGGCTAGCGTGTAGTGGGAAGGAAATTTAACATACTTTGTATTCGAGGGCTGCCTTAGGGGGCTCATATTCGAGGGGTGAATTTTACGGTATTTTGTTTCGTATTCGTTCCAGGCTTTTAACGACCTGTCCAAGGAAATTCAACAATACACCAAGCTAGTTACTTTTGCTACAAAAGACAGGAAAAACTGTGTTAAGCTCGTCGAAGAACGGACATAAAACAATGATTTTCCAAAATAATCTATACGTGAAATGGGATTCTCGTAATCCTCCGTGAACTTACATTTTGATGTATTTTGTTTTATTCTTTTCGACACCCATCATACGAACACCAAAATCTACCAAAAAATGTAAGTTTAAGTTTTAATGCCTATTTTATTTCCCGTGAATTGTGAAAGGAATGTTTTATTTTTTGTGAAACCGGATGCAGAACCCCCTTTCCCACCGTAAAACTAAACTTCAAAGTAAATCGTTTACTTGTCGCCTAACGCACTTTAGGTACATGTTGACAGAGATTGGATCCCGTGATTTGGGAGATCAGCAGCGTTACAATATGTTAGAGGTGAGTGGATGAAGTATGACTCATGTGGAAACCTTGTTCCCGGTTTTCTCTCCTTCTTGTCCCCGGTCCAGACCGAGAGAGGGGCCGAGTACATGAGAACCCGGGAAGCAGGTTTGCTTAGCTGACTCCTTCACAGAAAAGAGAAATGGACGGTATTTCCAACAAAAGAGTTTTAGGAAACTTTACATGGTTTTAGTTTTGTTCTGGAAGAGATTGTACGTTTCCAAATTTTGGGACATGAGTGTATTTAACTAAAGTATAACCTGGTTCCAGAATTTTCCTTTCTTCTTTCTTCTCAAGCTAACTTGAGCCATAAAGCGAGAGAAGTGAGAGGTTTCCCTCTTTTGCCGCTTTGCAGCTCACTGTCGTTTGTGAATGAAGAAAATGAATTTATAAAACCAGGATAAGGTGACAACAATGCGATACAATGATTGGGGCAAAAGATCCTACATAGAAAAGGCTGCAAGTAACAAATAGAATGACTTGAGAATTAAGAGGGCTGACAAAGTTAAATGTACTCTCTTGTCTGTTTTTAATATTAGGTGGTAGCTAAGAACATTGGTCTGGATACCAAAAGTAACGCATCATTGTGGAAGGATTTTGCAATGGTGGAATTGAACTATGCCGTGATGTACAGTTTCCAGGTAAGACATTTAGGATAGACGGCCAGATCAAATCCTTCGAGACATGCTTTACGTGTGTGTGATAACACAGGCTCTTGAAGCCTTGAAGCGTATTTTCGGGAACGGGGATTTGACCGAAGTACAGTACGCGATTCGGGAAAACGGAAAATTTCTTGACGGGGTATAGGTTTTGAGCGCTACTCGGGAAGCGGGATTCGCCAAAATCTTGGAAGGGGAAGCAGAATAGGGGAAAGAAAACCGTGCTCGCGATAGAGCTGACAGACATGGCTAATGTATCTGATGATGGGTGTGTATTTTCTTTTGTTAGGAAGCTGGTGTTACTCTGGCTGATCACCACTCCACATCGGAGGCTTTCATAAAACATTTAAAAAAAGAAGTAAGTGTGTGTTTCTTTATGGTGGACGCGGGGTGGGTCGAGCTAGTGGGTTAGGGCTTGAAGAAACTACTAATCCCGACGGTCTTTGCGGCAAACAAAGGAGTAATTATATCCCGAATGATCACTGACATTTTGGTTTAGGGGGAAGGGATGTGGCCCTCCCTCATTTAATTTGAGACATAAAGGTATGTGCTGGGCCCAAGGAAAATTGGGTATGGATTCTAGAAGGCGCAACTATTTTCTCCTTGAGAAGTGCAATTTGATCAGTTTGAATCCGCTGATTAGAAGCTCATGCGACAGAAACAGCGTGCGTGCTGCAACGTTCTAGTCTGAAATAGGTACCACAGGAAGCATGGAGCGCACCTGCACCCACATTTCCCAGATCTTTCCCATGGTGACCCAAATCGCAGAGGATTAGTCACCAACATACGAGTGATAATTACTTGCCGTAAGGAGTTTTCATTTTGGTAATTCAATTGTAAATGACTCGATAATTACTTTGCCGTATGGATACATTGTGAATATCTAGTATGAAAATCTATATCGAACAAATTGACATTTCCTCTTTTTGAACGAACACCTCTATTACGTAGACACTGATGTAAAAAATTGTCCATGCTTTTTAACACTCCATAAGACGAACACCTCTCTAGACCGAAGCTAAGTGCTAGTATCAGAGAAGCCGTGTCGGTCCTAGAGAGAGTTTAATGTACATTAATAATTGGATATCTGTTTTTCTAATATCCGTTTACCCAGTAATTAACCTCACCCTTTACGTTTCATTATAGATGAAACTGCGAGGTGGCTGTCCAGCGGATTGGGTGTGGATAGTTCCTCCAATGTCGGGTAGTGCTACCTCTGTCTTTCACCAGGTACGTTTGAAGTAAAAGCCAAAAAAAAACTGTAGGATTACTTTCTGACAAAGTTCTATTAGGAAAATATGTTGCCTTACTTATAACTTGTATTGTCATTCTTATTTTATTTTGCGTAGAAGATACTGTTTAATTGTGCTCTCATAGTAGGAGACCCTCGGGACCAATGCTAGCTATCCCCATCACAAGTTTAATGTGATCGATCTCTAAGCGGGACACCCTCGGGACAAGCTGTTGTTCCCTTCCTTAGAAGCACGCAGCGTAATCTCTCTTATTCTTGAATTCGGCAGCGTACCTTGATATAGTGTATTTTCTTTTCAGGAAATGCTGAATTATGCTTTAAAACCAAGCTACGAATACCAGGTAAATTTTCATTTCTTTTCTTATTAGATATGCCCAGAAGCATATCTGATATGCCATATTTGCTATTTCATAACATCCGTGAAAGTGATGATTTTCTGAAAAAAAGTTTGCTGTTGTTACAGACTGATCCCTGGAAGGTTTACAATTTCACCGGACAGACCAAACGAAATATCTCTTTTAAGGCCTTGTGCAGGTAAGCAGGATGTAAAGCGATGTTTAGTCAAGCCAACGTAATTTGCAATCGCTGCCTTACGTCGCTTCATTAATCATCCTCGCAGGCCAAGGGAAGCTGATCTGGACGGAACAAAGAACGGGAAAGCCCTGGGTAATTAATCTTACCGAACTACTTTCATAAACTTGTGTGTCCAAGCTTCTGATTTTCCAGAATATATTTTCTGGCCAATCAGAAGCTTGGAAATTGAAGTTTCTGGTTCGGAAAGAAATATTAGGGCTCTCCCGTCATTATTAGAGACCTTTAGATTCTAAGACAAAGACCACTACGGGTACGAGATTTTCTCAATAGTAAGTAGTGCGCGAGCTTGAACCAGGGTCATTTTGGCGAGAAAACGTGATAACCGTCGTCATTCTACTGCGAGTTTTAGTGAAGATGTCGTGTTGGCGGAAACAAGTTATCAAAAGTTAGAGGTTTTATCATTTTGCGCCGATCGGGAGGGGGCTTAACCTCTTTCAACAAAGATAACCGTGCCGATTTTTTTTAATGAAAAACAAAAGCAAAATGAAGCTTTCCAGGGTGTCTATTTTTTAGAATACGTGGAAAAACTTTAAATCAAATCTCTTACTCGCAGTCAGTCTCGTTCTCGACTCTAAAGGCTTCTGTTCATATTGCAAACAAATCGGCATAATTATTCCGTCCCCATCAGCTGACCATTAGTGTCTAAAGATGCTGTACGATTAGTTGCAAAATCTCCCGCCACTTTTTTAACCAATCAGAAGCAAGGCCAAAAGCATCTGTAATATACTCCCTTGCATTTTCCCGCATTTACGCTTGCTTCCGATTGGTTCGTTGGATTTGCTGCATGTGTTACGATTCACTAGAGTAATAACCCTTGTTTCCATTTCATGTCGTTCCAATGGCAAACGCTGCTGGAAAATGCGAATAAATCGGTTTCATGTTAGTATCAGTTTCAGCCCTTGAATGTCCTTCGTTGGACGTAGGCCTTCCTTATTGACCTTCACTGATCCACGTTTTGCGCGACGCGTTGCCAGCGCATGAAACCATCCAAGTCGTCCCTCCATCTCGTCCTTGGTCAAAAAAAAGGAAACCGATATAACGGAAGCTTTATATTATTTCTCTACAGAGGCATTCGTTGTGCTGTTTCTCTTATGAGAGAAATTTTGTCCAAACGTAAGAAGGCCACCATCCTGTTTGCTACTGAGACAGGCAGATCTGAGGGTTTTGCTCGAAATTTGGCTAAGCTGCTCTCATACAACTTCGATGTTAAGGTTTGTCAGTATTTGTACCTAAGCCGGCCGGACTTAAATCCTTTTTATATGATGTAAATCACAAGTTAACATGAGATATATCTCTGTTGGTAACAAACATATCAAGCTTTAACAACATATGAATTGTTTTGGAGTTTGAAAACAACAGCAATTACAATTAGCAATTGTAAAAGTTTTGTTAACTTAAATTATCCTCCCAGGCCAAACATTGGTGTCAGTTTTCTCCAACATAATATTGCACGCACCTTCCGTGTGATAGTAAAATAATGGAGATTACGTTCGCGGGAATAAAATGTTTGGGGCCTGACTCAGACTCATTTTAGCCCAAGCCGCCACGCGTGCTATTTCATGTTAGATCTTGCCGTCAGTTTTTCCTTTTGTTTTTAAATACTCGCTTTCGCGCATGCCTTGCGCCTGCATTGATCTATATGATTGATCCCTTAAATTTCATAAAACATGGTTATCAGGTTTGTTGTATGGATGATTACAAGCATGGCCAGCTTTCCCAAGAAAGTCTTTTGTTCGTGGTGGCGAGTACCTTTGGCAACGGAGAACCCCCAGAAAACGGTACAAGCTTTTCTGATTCCCTAGAAAGTATGAAGAAAAGCTCCGATGCCAGACCCTTGAAAAATCTCAGGTAAGCCCAGCTTTGTTCCTAACGACTGATCCTCGGAGACCCAGGGGCAGTCAGTCGGGTCGAGAGAAAAGGAGCGACGAAAGTTCTCAAGAACAGGCGGAAAAGCCCCTGGGTATGGACTGTCATCAGACCATTTCCAAACAGTCAAGCGAATGCTGGCTCCTGATTGGGCACAAAAATGTTTTGTATTATTGTGCCCAATCGGCGAACAGCATCTCCTGAGTTCTTTTCGTGTGTTCGTACGCGATGGCTATTGTCTTGCCATTCTTGTCCGGTTCGTTCACCAAAGTCCGCTTGATTTAGTTCACCGCATTGGAAAACTCTTTCAAGTAAAGGACATTTTACCCTTGCTATACTGAATAATTCTGATGGTGTTTTGGCTGTAAACAAGAATTGATTAGGGAAGAACGTTGTAGGCAATTGTGCTTGTCATTTTTCTGGTCGTTTTTTACTTTTTCTAGTCATTTACCGTTGCATTCGAAGTAAACGGTGAAAATGTGATGCGTGCTCTTTGTTTTTGTAGATATTCAGTATTCGGACTTGGATCCAGACTCTATAGTAATTTCTGTGCCTTTGGTCACTTTGTGGATGATCATCTACGGCAACTTGGGGCTCAGCCTATTTTGCCTATGGGGGAGGGGGACGAGTTGAGTGGTCAGGAGGAGTCGTTCCTAGAGTGGGCCAGGAACGCATTCAAGGTAAAACTAGTAACAAATCCATATTATCTTGACTATTTTGCTCTTATGTTAAAGAAAATTGGTTCAATTTGGGTTTTTTAATTCCTTTGCTTCTAGCACAAATTTCTTTTCATGCTAGACCATTACGTCGTCTTAATCGGATGTACGTATTATCAGGAAGATTAAGCGAAAAAAAACCCCGCGACGACATTAATGACGGCGCGCGCAGATCTAAAAAGTTAAACCAATGACAGAGCGGCAAATAGGTCATTTACACGATAACGTCTTTTTACTAATAAAATGACGTCATCGTGCAAATGGCCTATTGTCTACCAAAAATCGCAATCAGTCCCTCCACGCACTTTCGTATTCACCGTCATGTGACGTCACGAGAGTTTGCTAAATATGGTTATTGACCAAGGTATCGAAGCCACTGCGCAATCACTGCGCCTAAGAATCAGATACTAAATCAGCCCCTGCGACCACTCTTTGTTAAAAGAACATTGAAGGTGAGTTAGTGATACTGTCTTATTTCAGGCGGCTTGTGATTCGTTTGGCGTGAAGGAAGAAGCCGCGAACAAAGTGGTCAGTGAATCACTGAAAAACATGGCCACCGGGTGGAGTCCAGGCCACTATCGTTGGGTAGAAGACCAGCGGAAAGCTATGGACCCCTGCGCAAGTAAGTTCATGAGGGGACGCTATATAAAACTAGCCTTTTACGTAAGAAGTTCTCTCAACTGAACAAGCAGGAGCCGAAAGAACGTTCGTTTCATCTCGACGTTAACAATGTCCTTTCATGTTCTCCGTTAAAAACCGCGCTATAACAGTGTATACCCACACCTGTCTAAGCAACTTTTTAATTATGAGTTAGCAGTGTGTGCAAGGAAACTGTGTTTCGATTGTTGAAAAGTAGTATATGACTGCAAATGTGTGGATTCACAGCGGCACTACTGTAAAATAAGCCTTACAAACTTCTGGGCCACAAAGCCTTATCAAGATATTGTGTATTTAAAATAGTTGCTCAGCAGCGATGACGAAGTAAATCCTGCTCATGTTATATTGTTTTGTATTCTAGATCTTTCCAAAGCATATAACAAGAAAGTTTGCCCTGCAAAAGTTATTTCAGTGAGTGAACTTCAGTCCAAGAAATCCAGGTATAAACTGCGGACTCCTCGTTGGTAATTTTGTTGTGGGATACAAAGGGTGCACTTTGTTTGCATTGTGGACTTTGTAGGTTTTTATCGTCTTTTCCGCGGGATATATTGCTACTTATTTCCAAGGATAAAATAATTATAGGGATAGTAAAATGACGTCATCGTGAAAGTGGCCCATTGCGATCAGCTTCTGGTTTTTCCCGCGCTTTATGTACAATTGCCCTCAGTTGCCTGAAGTTCTGTGCCTGCTGTGACTGGGCAATATGACAATCAGTTTTGAGTTTGATTCTGGGACACCTAAGTGGCACTTATTTGAATCGAAACATTGAAAGTTCCATCGCATTGTCTTAATAAACCCTCTCAGTCCTGTACTTACTTTTCTTTTCATCAGTCGTTCCACTATTTTGGTGAAACTAGACATCGAAGGAAATAGAAAACAATTGGCATTTGAACCAGGAGATCACGTGGCTATATTTCCCGCCAACAAAGCTGATCTAGTGCAGCAGCTGATTAACGTGACGCACGATAAACCTGATCCAAACCAACCAATCAGGATTGAAGTCGCTCGAGAGGATTCAGGTAAACCACCAGCCAACGTTTATGGTTATTGCTGTTTGAAATCAATTCTGTGCCGAAGTCATTACTTAGGGCCTGTTTACATAGCCTGCGTAGCAAGCGTTTCCTCGCGAGGTTCGTCTAGGAAGCTAGGACAAGAGCTCGCGCAATAACTCGATTGGAAACGCTTGCTACGCAGGCTACTGTTTACATGGAGGTGGGGGATCGTAGATAGATGAGGGTTACCCCACCTAAGAGCGTTACCTCACCTACCTGGGGTCCCCCATCTCCATATAAACAGGCCCTTAGTGACTTGGCCCAAAAATATATTCCTCCTGTAGAGTTATGAAGAAGATATCTATGAAACAAATTTTGTCAGGGAGTAATAACCATAATAATGTTTTTGGTGATTTAATATGCGGGCCGAGATATTATTTAAACTTGAAAAAATTTGGCACACGTCTCAATCCTTGTTGATCCTTCCAGTTCTTAAAACAGACGACAGGAAAGAGTTTCAGTGCCTAAATTTAGTCCTAAAGTAACAAAACTGGACCATTACTTTTGGAATTTAATTGATGCTAAGACAAGTTTTAGCTTTTTCGGAAATAGCAGACTGCTCTACATCATCATCATCGTTATCATGTCTCATCGCGCCAGTAGGCCCAAAAGGCCTCCACGCTGTTTGACCAACACTTTCTGTCTTGTGCTTCCGCTTTGGCTACTTCACAGCTTCACATAGCCACTTTAATTGTATCAACGCTAAATGTAGCCTGTTTGTTTTGTCTAGGCAAACAAAGCAGGTTAAAAACATGGGAGCCGTTTCATCGTTTTTCACCTGGATGTACTTTGCGAGAGGCACTGACAAGGTACCTCGACATAACAAGTATTCCAACACCTCAGATGCTTAGCTACCTTGCAAGACTGGTAAGTTGATTGACATGTCGTGTGCTTTTTAAATCATTTTGGCATCCTTCAGTCTTCGGACTATGGTTTCGTGCTCTGATTTGCGGTTCTCGAACATCGCCTTGCATGGCTGGGAAGACCAATTTGGGAATGACAGTCCCTTCCGCACATTGAGCTGATGTGATCAGTTGCTGCTGTGATTTAGAGGTGGCATATCCACATCGTGGTACTTCGTCTACTATTCCTGGTCGAATTGGAATTTGGAAATGTTAGTTTTTGAGGAGAGGGGAAAAACCCCAGCACCCGGACAAAAAGCTTTCGGAGCAAACGAGAGAACCAAGAACAAACTCATTCACATATGGCGTCGACGCAGGGATTTGAACCCGGGCAACATTGGTTGGAGGGGAGTGCTAATCCCTTACTCCCCATTATGGGGTGAGACTGTCCAGAGGCGGATGTAGGATTTTTGATTGGAGGAGGGGAGAAGGGATTATTATATGCATTTGGGGTGTGAAGTCGAAGTGTATCTGGGATAAGAAATGAAGTACACAGCGCCCAAGAACCCTCCCCCCGGTTCTTGATTGAACTTAGTGCCAAACGTGACATATTTTTGATAAAACGAATTTTTGAAAAAATGGTTTGACTTTCAACTGTCATATGTTTTTTTAGGCAACAAACCCATCAGAAAAAGAAAGACTCGAAGAGCTTGGCAAGGTATATAAAGCAATTCAATTCCGAATTTGTTGCCATACAATTTCTAGAGATAACATTATTGTATTGTTTCTCGTGTTGTAATTCAGGGTGGAAGACAGTATGAGGACTGGGCTCAAAGCAAAGAGTGCAATATGCTGGAAACGCTGCAGGAGTTTCCTTCCGTGCAAGCAACCGCTGACCTATTAATGACGCAGCTGCCAGCTTTGCAACCGGTAAAATAGAACACACGACTATCATAACACACCACCAACACCACCCCGAACGGAAGAGATTTATTTCATTAATATGAAATGAGGAAAAAGCTCACAATTTACCTTTCATAAAAAAACTATATAAGCTTGTTCAAATCCGTTACATAAATACTAAATACTTGTTCTTTTACAGAGGTTCTACTCAATTTCGTCCTCCCTCGACGTTTATGGAAACGAAATTCACATTACAGCTGCAGTAGTTGAATATTACAAAAGAGGTAAGTGATTCTACCAAAACTATTCAAGTTTGGCTAACTCGAGGAAATACTAATCGATTCTTCAACCCCCCCCCCTCCCCCCCGCCCTTTACGTTAAAGAAGGTCATTTTCCGAATATATTCTCACGTGTCCGCTACGTAGGCAGGCTATCAGGCTAAATGTGTAGTTGAAGACGATGACACGTATCATACACAACTGTTCATCTTTTACAGGAGGTCATGGACCACTTCATCAAGGGGTGTGCTCCAAGTGGCTTCAGCAGCTGAAACCTGGAGACATGGTTCCCTGTTACATTAGACAGTAAGTCTTTATGTTGAGTGAGTTGGCATTTTTAGTGATTTTCATGAACCCATAGGATCTTTGACTGTTTTCAAGTGCCTTGTGAGACAGTCGTTCTCTTTTTGTTTTATTTAGTGCTCAAGCCTTCCACCTTCCATCGGATGGCTCGGTGCCAGTTATCCTGGTAGGGAATGGGACGGGTATCGCACCTTTCCGCTCATTCTGGCAACAGAGAATGTTTGATATTAACAACAAATGTCCACCAAAGTCAGCAATAACAGGTCAAAGACAGTGGGGAGACATACGACTGTTTTTCGGCTGCAGAAATCCGCAACACGACGATATCTATCACGATGAACTCCAGAACGCGGTGGAGAACAAAGCATTGACTAGAGTATCCACCGGATACTCCAGAGACAAGAAAAAGCTAAAGGTAAATCGACTAAATTCTGCCCGTGTTACAGGTTTCATAGAGAGGGGAAGTCGTTACGTCACATTGCCGTGGTAACAGAATTTCTGCATGACAACAAACCGAAAATGTCTCTTAAAAAGTGAATTTGCACTGTTTCACACTTCATCGATCCTATTCATTTTCATCTAATTTGTCAAATGTTGACAGATTTTCTGGAGTTGAATCCGAAAGGACCGTATCAAGAGTCTATCAAAGTTAAGAAAAAGAAAAAGAAAAAGAAAATTTCTGTGTTTTGTTCACCTACTCCATAAAGCGGCAAGTGAAATTAGGAAGTTTCATGTCGCAATCGTGCAACGACGGCTAAAAAAGTAAATGTAAATATAAATGTAAATGTAAATGTAAATGTAAATGTAAATGTAAATGTCGCGATTGAGAGGACAAACATACATGTCCTCTTTACATAGCTTTTTTACAGTGGGCTCGGACATCAGCATACTAAGGGCGCCGATGGCAGCCGCTATCAGTCCATTTATGAGCCCACTGAACCCTCCCAGCCCATGATGAGTGATGATGTAAGTGATGAAGATAGACCACAACACCGGGAACTACGTCCCCTACTCTTTTCGAATAGTGTGTGGGTTCTTTAACGTCCCACAGAGTTATATGTGAACAAGGTTTGTGAGACGGGACCTCCGGTTTATCGTCCTTATCCGAGAAGACTTGAAAGTCTAATTATTTGCAGATGTCATTACAAAGACAGCACTTTCTCCTCGGTTATTTTTAAGACCCTGAGTGTTGGTCCGGCCAGGATTCGAACTCGCGACCTCCCGCTCAGCAGACCGGCGCTCTCCCAACTGAGCTAACCGGGCGGCGGTTAAAAAAGGGACAGAAAAGCGTGATGCGCGTGCAAATTTGTTGTTTTGCTATTATAAACCTATTATTTTTGACGTGCTAAAGCTCCCTATTGTTGTGATCCGGAAATTTGGCTACCTTGGTAACGTGACGTCACACTTCTCCTCTCCATTATAAAGCTCAAAGCTTTTTTATAATATGGCTGTTTCCGCGAGAGGGCAAGATGAAGCGAATCCTGCGTTCCGATTGGTTACCTGTCAGGGCAGGATGAGTTGCTAAATTTATCCGGTATTTACTAACAAGCTGTCTTAATGCTGGCATTGTTCTTGCTTTCTTTTTTTGCGTTTTACTGACTGATATTCCGGCAGCCATCTTGAGCTCACACTTGGTCAATAACCGTATACTGCTACTCTGCACTGTCTTTTAAACTTTTTTAAGAATTAATACTGATGAACAGATTTATTCAAATTCAAGGCTATTTATGACTTGTGTTCGAATACTCTTTCTTTGGGCAGTCAGTGCTGTTATATGAAGAAATGAGAGTACAGTCAATTTCGGGAACCCTTTTTTTGTTGATGCTCTTTTGCTTTACGCACTATGGGAAGGTCTTTTTAACTTGGATTTCAAAGGAAGATGCCCCTCATACAAAAGTATTATGTACAGCACAAGATACGAAGGGAAAAGAAGATCTTGACAAGAGTCATAATAAATCTACGCTTCATTTCGATTCACAGCGTTACGTTCAAGATCTACTGAGAGAGGAATTCCCCAACATCTGCGAGCAGATACTTGACAACGACGCGCATGTGTACGTGTGTGGAGCCGCTGCCATGGCTGAGGGCGTCAATAAAACCTTGCAGGTATTGTTTTGTATAGGATTTATAGTTGAATCTGAATCTCCTGATACATTGCATATTGTTTCCAAACACTTTTCAACTTTCCGTGGAGGTATACATTCACCTAGAAAATCACTCTTGAAAAATCGAAAAAGAAGAAGAGAAGGACGTCTCCTTTTCCATCAAACGATTTCTTTTTTTCATTCATATTTGCGACTGCTTAACCTGCGAAAACATCCGTTCCTCCCAGCGGCGAAGAGCGAGGAGAAACGGATGTTTTCGCAGACTAGCGACTGCTAAGTCTAATTCTTAAAACCTCATCTGTTGCCTTTTTTTTAATTAACAGACTTTGATCGCGGATCGTCTTAAACTGTCTCCTGAGGAAGCAGTAGAATTCATACGGAAAATGAAGGTAAATATTTAAGGAAAAGTCAGGCTCCTATAAAACCCATGACATGTTTACAATTAATGCGAACGGTCAGGTATTGTAATACTCTTCTGTAAACCCAAATTATTCTTTAACCTTAAGATGGAAGTTAAAAGAATTATTAAAGGCATTATTATACATTGGAATCAACATCTGTCTTGTAATTCGCTAAGAGCCTACAGGTAATTTTGGAAATCATGGTAACTTACGGAATAGTTAGTTATCTGCTAGCAGATTAGTAATTCCTCTGTAGATAGCACGGGCAATGCCTGATTTCCAAGAGTAGTGTCAAACTGTGTTCTATGCGATGCTCTGTTTGTCCTTATTTTATTCAAAATAATGTATAATAAAACAACTTTTAGATTCGGTTTTTGTGATATCCGGAATAATTAAGGTCTCGGTAAGAGTTATCAACCTCGGCCTTCGGCTCGGCTGATAACACTTACCTCAACCTTGATTATTCCGGATATCACAAAATCTCATCGAGTGATTGTTTATTATTAAAAACTGAATCATTGGATAATGCAAGTCTAGGCATCATAGTGTAGGAGCCATTATACCATGCTCTCCAAATATGGTAACTGTACGCATCTACTTAAAATTAAAAAGAAGCTGAAAATCGGTTGTTTTAACAAATAAAGTCGGGAAGAATTCTCGATATTTTGTGTGCGTTTTTAATATTACAATTGCTCCACTCGAACTTGTTGGATATCAGATTATTATAGCCAACTCGGCGCTACGCGCCCCCTTGGCTTTCCACCATCTCATATCCAACGCGCACTCGTGGAATAATTATTAAATATTATTATTTACATCATATTCCAGACTTCTAATCGGTATCACGAGGATATTTTTGGTGTAGCTCAGAGAAACAAGGCTGAGCCAAAGGAGTCGAGGTAAATGTAACAAAAAATTAAACGATTCCGTGCATGGTTAAATAGAAAAAAGATTTCAACACGAACCCTTTCCACATTTACGCCCTCCACTGGCTCTTCCCTTACAAAGTACCAGTTGGAGAAATTTTCTTTCCCAGAGTTGTTAAGATTGAAAGTAGAATGTAATTTGCGTTTGGAGCGCCTGTCTTTCTTGACTGTTCATGTGATTTGTTAAAACTGACTCGCACCCGACTTGCTTGACCAATCAGCATCTTTCAGGACGAGTGTTCCGCCCTCTCTTACAAGTCAGTTCTATACTCAGCTCATATATATACTCATATTTTAACGTCCTCTGTGATCCCTAATATTAATGAACATGGAATTTTATTACTGTTCTAGAATTTGTTTTAATGTAGGAATTTTCCTAGCCACATAAATCACATTTTGTGTATAGTTCCTTTTGTGATCTGTCAACAGTTTCTGCTTACGTTTCACTTGCTCAGTCCAAAATAATATCATTTTCAAATCTGCAAGCTGTGTTGGACAAGCAAAAAGAAACTCTCTATGATCGCCCCATGTAAGGACATTTAAGGCGGTCTTGGATTCTGAATTCCAGGCACTGGATTCCTGATTCCAATCCTTAGTGGGATTCCGGATTCCAAAGCCCAGGGTTCAGGATTTCTCAGCTTATCCTACTACTTGAGAAATTTCTGCAATTTGATTGGCTTAGAGCAGTGGTATTTCAGCTTAATTTGAAATACCTACACGTGAAAATTACAAACCTTTTGCGGGTAGTATTATAAACAAATAATAGCATGATTTGTACGTGACATTTGGCATAAATACCACTCTTGATATTTCAAAATTGTCTCAAATTTCACTCGCCTAACGGCTCGGGTTAAATGTATAACAGAACGAAATAAACTGTAGTATTTCGCCGCGGATCAGTACAAATGATGTTCTTACCTATACAAAAACGTGGATTGTGATTCCACGATAAAAATTTCCCGGACTCCGGAATCCATATTCCCTTACAAAAGGCGACTATGACATCATTCGTGCGTCTGTACGCCACTTATGCACGCGGTAAAAACGATGAAAAATGTTATCCTCTAATGATTTTGTCATTCTCTCTTTCAGGAAACAACACAATAATAGTGCTCTGTGTAATATAATGTAGAAGGTCTTTAGTAGTGCATGTTCTTCTGCTGGGACATTATATTACAAAAAATATTCTTCAACACCAACTATTTGTTGAAAGTTTAGCAGAGCTTTCGGAACCCACCCGGGTCCCTTTACCACTTTATGTAACAATTTTGCAGCCTCATTAAAATGAGGCTGCGAATAACAGCACACATCAGCACTGATGAAGGGATTCGAATGGGTTCCGAAAGCTCTGCTAAACTTTCAACAAATTGTTGGTGTTGAAGAACATTTTTTGTAGTCTTTAGTAAGGATTGGTCAGATGGTCGCGTTCGCTATCATAAATTAGTTATCGATTTTAACCAAATACTAAAACAAAGATTAGTACCAAGAAAAAGTACTGCTGAAGACTATAGATGTTTCATTTCAATGATCACACCAGAGGACTTCCCTCTCAGACACAAAAGTTACACCCATTATGTAGCATGTCTCCGTATTTAACCCTTTCACATCCAGACTGAATCAGTGGCGGATCCAGCGGGGAGGGTTCGTGGACTCCGGACCCCCCCCCCCCTCCCCCCCTATCAGACCTGACGCTTGTTTGAGACTGAAATTCTTACATAGAAAGGATCGTATATCACTTTTTAACTGACTGATTGTTTTTAATGAAACAAGAATTGCATTTTGCCACTAAACTAAATTCCAGTGATATTCAAAAATGTAATTGTTTTTCGGTACCCTCCTATGATCTGTTCGCCTCTGCTCGCAAAGCTGTATTTCCCGCGCCATTGGTGACCGGTGTTCAAAAATTGAGAAAAACGTGGTCGTCTCTGCTTTCTCAGCTGGTCGACAATTATGGCACAAGAGGAGGATGTTCCAAGGGTGCATCCTTTACGAGTAGAATTCAAGTACACGGTGAGGGGCCAAGGAATTATAACGTGTAACCGCGACTGGTGGGAGGGGGTGTGGGGCAGAAGTAATTTGCCACAAAAAATTTCAACAGCCCTTTCTGAACCAAAGTTTGAACCCCTCCTCCCCGCCCCCAATAAAAATAATCCTGGATCCGCCCCTGACTGAATGATGGTATCTTTTAAAATGGTTCTAATCTCTTTTGCAGTACTTTCACATCAGATTACATGGTTTTGTTTTGTTGAGAGTTGTCTTTTGGCAGTGAATAAGTTAATTGACTCTTAGATTGCTAGAAAATATAGAACAATGTTTGTAAAAAATTAAAGGAAGATTTTAGGTAACAGAATATTTACTTTTTAATTCGAGTAACCTTTTTGTATTTAACTATTACTTTCGTACGTTTTTATGATAAGCGAGCCACTATTGATAGCCGAATTTGATTTACCGTGCTCTAGACAAAGCTATTGTTAATTGTATTGTTAGATTTGTTAAAAACGTTTTTCCTTACAATAGTTAGCACTGAAGCTGAACACAATGTCGCAAAGCAAACGAGCGAGTAGGCAATGAAAGGATAATAACGTGCAATACCTTAAACCGCCGATCATAAGCTCTGGACCCAGTTGTTCGAACGCCGGTCAGCGCTAACCCAGGGTTAAATTTTAACCCGGGTTCGTTTTCTTTTTATCAAAAGCACTCTCTCGGATAAATCTTCTCTATTCTTTTTAGAGTATCCAATCATCAAATAGTAGGCAAAGAGAATTTAACTGAATTTGGTTTTTAAGCTCTCATATCTGAGTTCAAATTTCGCATTAGGTTACCTTAACCCAGCTTCGAACACCGGCCCAGGGCTTTACAACTTTACGGATTTACGTAGTCCGGGTGGTCTTATACACAAAAACAATGCTGAAGTGAAATTTTCAATCGCACATTTCACTAAGTAGATTTAAGTTGGTTCTCCGTATTCACGTTAATTATTGCTTAACCATTAATTATTGCTTGATTGTTAAAATAAATGAGTTGCCCTTGGAACACTTAACTTCGTAACACTGAACCAGTTCGATATTCAGACAAGACGACAACCAAACAACCAAAGTCGGTGCCCAGGAGGTAAACGTCAAAAATCCCAAAATGGCATCTTTGCAGTTTGGCCATTAAACAAAATTAGGAGAAGACGAAGGGCTGATCCAACAAAGTAAACGTGAAAAGCATTTATATGTGCTGGATTAGTGATCCTGACAATTTCAGAAAATTTGACCGAACTTGCAAAATAGATATCGAGTTAACAAAACTCCTCTATGTAATGTTAAAACACGAACGTCCCCAGAGTATTCATCTCAATAGGATTTCTTAATAATGCATTTTTCTTTTTAGAACGTGTTGATTAAAAAACGTTAAACAAAAACAGTGTTAAAAGCAGGAAAAAAAACAAATGTTGGGCAGAAATATTTATGCAAATGCATTACGAACCTGAAGTTGACAGTTTAGGCGTCCACTTACCTTCCCAATAAGACTATCCAGATGGAAGAAATTTTACGCTTAACTGGCTGCACAAAAGGGAAATTTGCTCGAGTAGAGTGTCGCTAAATCTAACTGCAACTCGACGTAATGGACACTGAAAAATTGCAAACTGGTAAGACTTTAATTTTGTTGCTTGTGACTCATTTCGTTCATTCCTTCTTATCGTAACAACCAGTTCGATAAGTGTTAGTTTCGAGAATTCAATATGTCAGATCATGTTATGCATTAATGAGACAAGTCAGGAGAAGACAAAGGGCTGATCCAGCATCGTAAATATTATGTGCTAGATCAGTGATCCTGAAAATTTCGGTAAAATTGAGTGTAGTCGAAAGTGGAGATGATTTAATTACGAATTATAAGTTACATTATGGGAGGGATTCCCATAAAGTGATAGGGATACTCGTCAGGCTCGTCTCGATGTCGTTCTTAGGAATAGAAATTGCCGTTTTTGTCTCACTTAGGGTACTCAGAATGGAATAACAATAATTTAGGCCCTAGAGGTATATCACTTAGGGTTGTGCGTACAGATATATCCATAACAAAGGCAAAGGCCATCACACATTTAGCCTCGCCCGCAATGGTATCATTTAGAGGTTTCATTCTGATTTTTTGACGAGCATACCAGTCACATTTATGTGCGAGTGACCCCAGGGGCGTTAATTATGAATTGAGTAATAACGTAGTGTTATAATCAAAGGTGTCCCAATTTAATTTTATGATATACTGGTAATTGATAATGCTATTGATATAATATAGCTAGATGTTGTTGAGATATTTTTGTCCTGTTTCTAAATGACTCGTCATGTTTCATCCTTTCATTTTTGCCCTTATTTCCACTAAATGGTAAGTGAAATCCCGCTTAGTAATTGATAAGAACATAGCCCAGACATCACTCTTTTAATAAGTCAAACTATTCAACGACTCGCGCTCATTGTTTGCAAAATTGAGTTTCACTCATAATCATAATAAAACATTATAATCAACATAATCAAACATTATATTTAGGCCATTTTAAAGAAATACAAACTAAGAGAAATTTCAAATTTTTGACTAAAACTATGGGTTAAACCCTTGGGAAAATGGCAATTTTTCGACTTTGCTCTGATGTCATTTTTATGAAAATATAGCCCGCGAAAACATCCGTTTCTCCTCGCTCTTCGCCGCTGGGGTCGTTCCGCGCGGAACCATGGAAAAATGCCAATCTTTCGACTTTGTTCTAAATTTCATTTTTATAGTCTAGGGAGCCTTTTTTTTCTATCTTGAACACAACCGAACAGTTTATCTAGACCTACTTAAAAAAAAAAAAAGAGAATATTTCACATTTTTGGTAAAAACCACGGGTTAACCCCTTTGGAAAAATGCAAATTTTTGGACTTTTCTAAATGTCATTAACACAATGAGTTAACCCCTTCTTTGGTTTAATGTCATTTTAATAGTCTACAAAGCCGTGTTTTC